TTTTATTATCTATAACTCCGAAATTTTATACTGATATTGTTAAAATAAATTGTATATTTGAAATAAACCCATTACTAACGTTGAAAGGTATCTATTGCGTTTAATCATTATAATTATCTAATGTGTATTCCTTTTAGTCAAGGTTATCTCAATGAATAATAATATGTAAGACTATTATTTGTGTGTGTGTGTGTGTGTGGTACCTACTACGTAGTTTTCTACGTCCTTATCCAAGGTTGTCTCAATTAATAGTAAGATTATAAGACTGTTATTTAGTCTCTACTACGTAGTTTTCTTTGATTATATATTTTAATTCAAATTTCGCGCTCATTGTAAACATAACCTAACATTTTTCAAACATAACCTACAACCGTCGTAGACGAATACAAAAAGTACAGAAGCTAGGTGTAGATAAAATTTGCAACCATGGTTCTATGTAACGTTCAATGTTTAGAAAAGATTTCAAATTACTTAGACGTATCACCAGTACAGTCAGAAATGCATGAAAATGTGAATAATAGATTTTTACAAAAATTGTTTTTGAATCTTAGAAGCGACTCATATTATACATCGTTTCATAAACGATTTCATTTGATTTTTCTTTTTTTAGGTAGTTGTTAGCACGGAACAAACGTCTAATAAAACAACTGAAGGATTTGGCACGATAATTCAATCATTGATCAAGAGTTCTAAATGCCCTGAAATACTTGGTAGTAACAGTGAGGAGGAAGCTTTATCACGTCAATGGCTCGAGTATGCTGTAGTTTGTATTAATTATGCTGATACTCTCGCTAACACGAAGAGGATTTTACAGGTAATATTGATCCGCCTATTTATGTAACTATAATGAAAGAGAATAGAAGTTGTATAAAGTGCAAGCTTGTTAAATATTTTATTGACATAGGAACTAAATATTGCTCTGAGAGACAACACATACCTAACTGGCACAAAGAAAACTATTGCTGACATAACATTGTATTATGTCCTACACTCAATAATGGTAATAGAAATAAGCACTATATAATATGTAGGACAGGAATCCTTAGTAGATTACACAGATCAATCTAATCTATTTAACCTTCTTCTTTTTGTTGCAGCAAAAATTGACTTACCAGGAAAAGGCTCAGTATGTGCATGTGTCAAGGTGGTTTGATAACATGCAACAAGAGAAAAAGTTAAGGCAACAATTAGATATGATTTCCTTTTATCTGTTACATTTATTCTTATGAATTTGAAATATATGTGCAATCATGGATTAATTAACTGCCCAACAAATTTGACCTTCCTCTTCTTTTCTCTCTATTTTATTACTAAATTTATTACATGTTATAGCTTTTTTTCATTCAATAAGAATTTTTCTTAGATTCTTAATTTTTTGAATAATTTAAGAAATATCCCGAAAAATTAATGCAGTTTACTTTGTATTAAAACATGAAAAAAGTTACAATTTTCTGGACAGTGTTATTGTTACAAATTCTCTTTCAAATAATTAAGAGCTGTATTGAGCATTTAACATTTATCAGCTTCTAACAACAATAGAAGCGAAGATGAAAAAAATAGCATGCAACAAAACTTTATATACTTAATAAAAATAAAGTGTGTAAGTAGATTATTTACATGTTACAAGCCACGCGTATGACTAGGTGGTAGACGCTTACATATTTATTTAATGCGCTAAAAAGATATTTTATAACAATTTTAGGACGAAGTATTAATTTTCACTAAAAGAATTGGTCATAAACCGTTTGTTTCATTCTTATATATGCAATAATTAATAATTACATAATATCAAATGGCCAGAATGAAGAGTCGAGCAAAAACGGCTCGGCACGGAATAAATTAAATTTATGTTGATGACTATTTAATGCATATTAATGTAACTAATTACAGATTTAGATAAACATTTATTGTTTCGTCATGCTTCTGATGCTGCAGTGCAAAATTTATTTCCGTTTACGAATGCGGTAAAGTTCACATACAAATTCAGTTGTTACATTTTTAAGTGCACTTTGAAAGATCGCCCAAAAATTTTCAGTTTCCTTACCAATAATGAGAAAAATTACTGGTCGGTAACAATCGATCGATTGCGTTGTTGCACTTCCTGTAGTTATCGACAGATGACGTTAAACCGCCATTTTTACCGTAAAGAATCAAAGATGTCCGTCACGACTGATTTCAGTTTCAGTCCAAGATCTGTGTAGTCCTTGGATGCTTGGACCAACGCGACACTAGGATAGCGATTTTCCTTTCGTTATGAGTATTAGAGATGTTTGAGTGGATTTCACGGTCGTCTGTGCGCGCGTTCACGACAAAAAATGCGAAATTTTCACGGGCACCGCAAATAATAACGCGTGCGCATTCAGGTTACTCGCGCATCGAGAAATTCTAACCATCGCCTAATTATTTTGGCCTAATCGTACTAGGTTTTTGTTCGTTTCCTCGTCGAAGTCTCAAACGCTGTCACGTCTTAAAGAATTGCACAATCAACGACGTCGAGATGGCTGATGACACTAGTGTACGCGTCGCCGTACGGTAAGTATCACGAATAACTTAGTTCTGCTTGTTTTTAACAAATTTGAAAGAAAGACGTTCCTCCATCGACCAGGCCGCATTATCGCGGACTAATACTTTTTTCCGCGGTGACAGCTTCTACCGCCAGCAATATTCGGTTAATTATAATCTAGGGATTGCCGCGAAATATCATTCGAATTCAAAATGTGACGATTTGCTTTTTAATTATCATTCTATTTCATGTCGATTTACATACTGTCTGGACATGTTTGCCCGGTGTATCTTATCTAGTCCCTTGTTTTTTTGTACGTTTTTGCACCGATACCACCGTTTTTACCAGTTCAATAATTAGAATTGTGAAACGTATCGGCTCGTGTCACACTTTCACGATTTTAGAAAATTCTACTATCTAGACCGTTTCGTAATTTTGAAACGGTTCCGGGTTTCCCGTAGCCGTAGCAAAATAATTATGCGGATTGCGACGTTTATACACGGTTATTCAGATCGAAGTCGCTGGTTATTAGCTCTGAATATTGACATCCAAATTAGATCACTGCAATCAAATTTTTATCTTCGTCTTCGGTCTTATATTCCGAGCTATTGTATTTTGTGATAAAGTATATTACTATTATTTGATCGGTATGTTTTCTCTGCGCAGTAGCTCGTTGCAAACTTCAATCACATAATATCTCCTTTTAAAGAGTCAGGTGCGTAGGCATCATTACCGGTTGTATAATGTACGCATATCCCGATTCCCGATGAATGAATTTTTTACCTCCCACCACATTCCCCTTCGTTTTTGCGTGATCTCGTAATATCTGTTTGTTTGCATTTTTTTGCACCTGTTTGTATCTGTTTTTGTTTATCTCGCGTTGTGTGTCCTTTCTTTTTTACCTTTGAGTGATTCTCGCAGGGTTTCCGTGAATGACACTCTATAAACAGCTGATGCATACAGTCCAGAGCCTGCAATATCTCCCACGTAATAAATGATATAATACTCTCTCGTATAGCTACACCGGTCGATTGTGCTTCGTATGTATAAGTTATGAATAATAAGATGTTGTATGATTAAATCTGTCCGAAAGCAAAATCAATAATTTATTAATATTTATCAATATTTCGAAAAAAAATTTTGAATTGAAAATATTAATAGCTTAATTGTGTTATGCATATCGCAGTATTAATTCAAATATTTTCGAAATTTGATCTTTTTGAAATTATAAAATGATCTATATTCCTGAAATAAAATAATTATTTAAATAAAGTAACATTTTATTGATTTATAATTGAAATTAAAATACTATTTCAACTATATAAATCAATGCTTTGTTCTTAATTGCAGAATAAGGCCTCAGGTAGCACGTGAAGTGATTGACATGTGTAGGATATGTACTCAAGTACCTCCAGGAGAACCCCAGGTCTTTCTTGGACCAGACAAGGCCTTCACATACGATTATGTTTTTGATACTGGTTTTGGACAAGGCACAATTTATGACACATGTGTTGCACGATTGATAGAAGGTGCTTTAGATGGATACAATGCAACAGTTCTAGCTTATGGTCAGACTGGTTCTGGCAAAACTTACACAATGGGTACTGGTTTTGATGTGGAAGTTGAGGAATCTGTTATTGGCATTATTCCTAGAGCAATTAAGCATCTGTTTGATGGAATAGCAGAGAAGCAACAGCATGCTAGGGAACGTGCACAAATGCCTCCTGAATTTAAGGTGTGTAACAGTCTCTATTAATTTTTTATTTAAAACATTGTCAATACTATAATTCATATTAATTTTCCAATAGGTTACTGCACAATTTTTGGAATTGTATAATGAAGACTTGAAAGATCTGTTGGAACCAGGTGGACCAAGAGGTGGGGCCCGCATTCATGAAGACACTTCTGGCAACATTCACTTAGCTGGTGTTGAACCACGAATTGTAACTAGTTTGGAACAAGCGCTAGACTATTTACGATTAGGAGCATTATCGCGCACAACTGGGTCCACACAAATGAATACTCAGTCGTCGAGATCACACGCAATATTTACCTTACACATAAGGCAGCAAAGATGCGTTAAAGTTGAAGATCCGGATGCTGATATCGACACAAGCGGAACGGAACCAGCAAACGAGTTTGAAACTTTAACTGCAAAATTTCATTTTGTAGATTTAGCTGGCTCAGAAAGATTAAAAAGAACTGGTGCTACAGGAGATAGAGCGAAAGAGGGAATATCTATAAATTGTGGACTGGTATGATTTAGATGGCTTAGATAGCTCTCATTTAAAAGAAATAATATTTTCAATTTGAATAACTATTTTTTTTTTTTAATTATAGTTGGCTTTGGGTAATGTGATTTCAGCACTCGGTGACAAAACAAAGAAAGCTTTACATGTACCATATAGAGATTCTAAATTGACTAGGCTACTTCAAGATTCTCTTGGAGGTAACAATACCTACTATACAAGATGTGCTACATAACATGAGCACCTTTCTGATATTTTTATAATTATGCTTTATATTTCCAGGGAATAGTCAGACTGTTATGATAGCCTGTGTGTCACCAAGTGACAGAGATTTCATGGAAACTCTAAGCACATTAAAGTATGCAAATAGAGCAAGAAATATAAAGAACAAAGTTACAATTAATCAAGATATGAGCTCGAGAACTATAGCTTCTTTAAGAAGAGAGATACAACAACTTCAGTTAGAATTAATGGAGTATAGACAAGGTGTTTGCACAGGACATGAAATAATTAAAATATATAAAATTATTATATGTTGACCCTAATCTAATATGTGTTCCCTTAGGCAAAAGAGTTGTTGGTGAAGATGGTGTCAACGATGCTTGGCATGAAAATCAAATGTTGAACAGTGAGCTACAAAGTCTACGTACTAGAGTCAAAGCTCTTTCAGAGACTGTTGAAGCATTAACTGCGAAGAACGTTCTTCTTCTAACAGAAAAAGCTGCTGGTAAGTGGATATCATCAGGTGGAAATGGTGAAGTTACAAGCTTGGTACAAGGATATGTTCAAGAAATAGAGGAACTAAGAGCCCGTCTCTTGGAAGCAGAAGCTATGTACCAACAATTAAAAAAACGGCAATTGCAGGTACATTCAAATTTATAATTAACATATTTGAATATAGTATATGACTAGTCATTTTGTGATATAATTGTTACCTTTATGTAGGTTAATGCAGCAAATCCTTATGGTGACTCTGGATATGTATTTCAAAATGATTCTACATCAGTATTAAATGACGCCAAAAAAGAATTACAGAAGGAAATTGAAACGCTGTCTGCACTAAAAGAGCAGCAAGCGTATAGTGGCAATACTGCCAATAAGGTGAGTGAGGAAGGAGAAGGCGATGATGCAGAGGTTGTCCAAGACTCTGCGAGCGAAGATGATTCCGATGATGATTCTGATAGAAAAGGTATAAATCCAGAAGCTATCAAAATAGCAGTATTTGAATGAACACATTCGTAATAGCCATGCAATGTTTTGTAGAAGAAGACGAAGAGGAGGCAGCTATGGGTCGTGAGTTAGAGGCTCTAACATCGGATATAGATATGAAGCAACGGTTAATTCAGGAGTTAGAACTCTCTCAGCGGCGACTACAAACTATGAAACAGCATTACGAGGATAAACTCGCGCAGTTGCAGGCTCGTATTAAAGACACGCAAGAAGAAAGGGACAAAGTGTTGAATTCTCTGCAACAACAACCAACACCGCCGACGGAAAAAGTAAAGAAACTGCGTGACGAGTACGAGAAGAAACTGACCGCGATGCAAAAAGAAATGCGACTCTTACAGTCTGCTAAAAAGGAGCACGCGAGACTACTAAAGAGTCAGTCTCAAAACGAGAATAGATTAAGAGGATTGCGAAACGAACTTGCAGAAATGAAGAGAGCTAAAGTGAAGCTGTTGAATAAAATGAGAGAAGAGGCTCAAAGACACAAGGAGAATGAGTTGAGGCGGAATAGAGAAATCGCTCAATTGCGTAAAGAAAGCAGAAAGAATGCAAACATGATTAGAACTCTGGAAGCTGATAAAAGGATGAAAGAGGTGGTGTTGAGACGTAAACAAGAAGAGGTTACTGCGCTCAGAAAACGAGACAGAGGTCTCAGTCAGAAGGTAGCAGGTCGAGCGCCACCTAAACCGATTAATCCGAAAGCGTTGAAGCAAAGATGGCAGACGTTTGAAAGAACAATCGCGAAACAAGCATTGGCTAAACAGGCGGCTGCAGAAACTGAGAGAGAAATGGAAAGACTCCTTCAGGAACGCGAGGAACTAGGCAGAGAGCTTGAGAAGCTTCAGAAACTCAGGAATGATTTAACAAGCAAAAGAGGAGATCCAAGTGACGTTGACGAAGAGATTGATAATGTAAAAAGTAAAATTAGTTATTTGCAGGTGAGTATTTTTTCTTGTATTGCGTAGTATGTTTCTACTGTGTTCTTCAAGATAGTGTAGTACTGTGTACTGTGTTCTTCACAGGATAGCATATCCGAATGCCAACGAGATATGATGGAAGTGGGTGATGGAGAAACAGAGGGTGAACCAGGAGTTGAAGCTCTCATATCAACAGTTCAAACAGTGGATGAAGCTCAATACTTACTGCAAAGAATGCTGGCTTTCACTGTGGAACAAAGTTGTGTGGCAGCTCAGAAGCAACTTGAGGTACGAGACATGGAATCACGGCTGAACCAAGTTGCACAGGAAAGCGATGTGCAGCATCAGTTATTGGAGCATGTATTGAGGGACAGAGATCTTCTGTCCCTTACGAATAACCATCACAATAATACGATGAACTACAGCCCTCCAAGTTCGAGGAGCTCCTCACCGGACATGTAAGCTACTTAACATGTCTTGATTAATACACTAATATCAATGTATGTGTATCGAAAATTGTATATTATTAATATTTTCATTGTAATTTGAAATATCAGCGAAAGTTATAGTCAAGTTATAATGGGAGAGGAAAGACAACGTAACAATAAAGTTAGACGAAGAACTACACAACCTCAAGAACTTCTTTACGGAGTGCAAGCAAATCCAGACAATATAAAGACAGAAGAACAAAGTCAGAACTATAATCATCCACTTACCAGGGTACCTAGTGCGCCAGGTAGTTTAAAGTGAGTATAAATTCTTACAAACAGTTAAGATTGTAAGTAGATAATATCTATATTCTCGTTGTTTAGAGGTTTGGTATTGACAAGAAGTCAGCACAATATTACTGGAGGATCTCCGACTTTAAGTCGACGTGATAGTACATCACCAAGGCCGCTCCGACGACCATTGCATCCTGGTGGAGGCTCCATGTGAGTGATAACTCTGCAGCACATCTTTATATTTGTATTTCTTACATATCTTTGTCTTGATGCTCTGTTCTACGCACTACTGGCAAAATTTTTTCCTTAAAAAAAGATGTGTATCATTTAAAACAAGTGCATTTATCGGTGCCTTCACCAAAAAATTATACTTGTACCATCTCTTGAACTGTAGCCAAAAAAAGTCAGATTATTGCGACACAGCTTTGTCGCACGCATCGCAGTACAAAGGAAATATTCAAAAAGCTAATATATTTCTTCACTATTAATAAAATTGTTTTATAATTTGCACAAGGAAAATTCAAATAGTTAAGTTTTAAGTCAATAAATTTTTAAGTAAGATTACTAACTCAAACAAATTATGTTAAGCAGAAGTATATAATTTGCACAAAAGTTGATATAATGTTTAAAATTTATTTTAAAATTTTTTTCATTCTTGGGCAAATTGCTAACAATTATGATATTGTTTTACAATTATTATTCTAAGTGTTTTAATAAGTTTGACCTAACAAAGTACAATTCATTGTATTATATTTATATATATTTCTATGCATTTGCAGTATAAATATGTATAAATGTCACAAAGCTTCGTAAGAAAGTCGATAAAGTTTGTATATATGTAAGCAGATATTTTGTATACATGTCAGTTAATAAATAAACACACAATTATTTAACGTGCACTGTACTACGGCAATACACACGAAGACCCCTCAGTGGATCATTGTTTGTTAAAATTATTTTACTACCTCATTTAATGAACCATAATGTATGTTTAATAATATCTGATTAATATTCAGTAGTTTTTTGTATTAATATATTTGATAATACAAAAAATTACAAGCATTAATACACTTACCATTGATTGATGTTTTCACTAATTAAAACGATTTATCATTCTGTCTTAGTGCACTTGCATGATCCAAAATTATTTCTATCGAACCAAGATAACTTAGCCTGGATTAGAATTGCCAAGAACCCGGCTAACTAACACGCTAACATAACAAACCCTCAACTAGGGAACAGGTAGCACATACAGATGTGTCATCACCTCCTGGATCACCGACCACTTATCGCCGATTCAACAGTAGGGAAGAAAATGTATTCTCCAGACTGACAGCGAGTAGGCAACCAGCGTCGACATACCCACAGCCTATGAAAGGAATCATTTCCCAATGCCAAGGCAAGGTAAAAGTAATAAAAGTCCAACAAAGTTTGTTAGGTGGTCATAACAAGTTATCAAACTTTTCAGACGCCACCGAGAGCCGTTTTGCAATGTACTCACGTAGCAGAGGGGCATAGTAAAGCCGTTCTAGCTATATGCGCGACCGAAGATCTATTATTTAGTGGATCAAAAGGTATAAGCTTCAAAGTAATCCATACAAATTTCTGAAAATCTTTTTTCTACGAGTTACAATGTAATACTTTCAGATCGAACTGTAAAAGTATGGGACTTAAGAACCGGAATTGAAAATCTCACCTTAATTGGTCATCCTAACAACGTTGTTGCAGTAAAGTACTCACCAGTACAGAACTTGTTATTCAGCGTATCTTCTGCCTATGTAAAAGTTTGGGATTTAAGAGCAGCCAACAATTGCATAAAAACTTTGTTCTCATCTGGCCAAGCTCAAAGTGGACAAATTGCATTATCAACTCAACTTCCAATGGGTGAAACTGCTATCAACGATTTGGTACTTAGTCTTGATGAACAAGAACTGTACGCTGCAGCTAGTGACAAAGTTAGAGTATGGGATCTTAGAAAATTGACGCACATAGGAAGATTGGGTACGCCTCATACGGCTGCAGTAATGTGCCTGGCTGTTGCGAATGATGGTAGAGTGATAGCTGGTAGTAAGGATCATTTGATATCGCTTGTTGAGCCTAATATGTCTGGTCAGTCAGTGTGTTTGGCACCACCACATTACGATGGAGTTCAGTGTTTAACCGCGTGCGATTCTACACTTTTCTCTGGTACTTTCCATTATTTTTAGTTTCCATTTATCAGTTATCATCTTATTTAAAAGGAAAGAGTACAAAACTGCCCTCTATTGCAGGCTCAAGAGATATGTGCATTAAACGTTGGGATCTACATAAAATGGAACTAGTTCAATCACTGAACAATGCACACAAAGATTGGATTTTGGGATTATGCATGATTAATAGCGGAACTATCATGGTCTCAGGTTGTCGAGGAGGAGTTCTAAAGGCGTGGTCTGTACCAAAGGAACAAGGTGGGGAGTGTGCACCAATTGGAGAAGTTCGGGCACACGGATCCGCTATCAATGCTGTGATAACTAATCAGCAGCATGTTTTTACTGCGAGCAAGTAAGTATATTTCATTAACTTTGCACTGTTCGATAAATTTTAACTTCAATATCCAATAGGCGATTCTTATGGATTTTGTTACGCTATAAGAGTCGCTCATTGATTATTGAAACGCAAAATCGATGTTGGACAGTGTCATTATTTTCATTCAACTGATCCGAAGCATACGCAACAATTTAGATTTTATACAATGTCTGCTTGGGTTCAGTGTCTGTAAATACTTTCTTGAATAGAATAACATCTTGAATGTTGGTTGCAGCTCTGGAGAGGTGAAGCTGTGGCGTGTCCCTGATCCCTCAATATCCATGTCCATTTCCGCAGTTTCCCTTTAACTTATTTTTTTATATTGCTGTATATACTTATTTTGCATTTATAGATTGTTAATGTGGTAATGCGCGCATGTTTGTTTAATTACATTTTGTAGTTCTCAAGATGTTAACATGTTTGTCGTCATTGAAAATAATTACCTAACTGACGGCTACGAATAACAGCAAATGAAGCTATCTCATTATTTTACTATTTAATATTTGGTTTCTTCATCTACATGATTTTTGCATACTCGAAACATTTTATTCCTTATTGCATTTATATATTTAAGTATTCTTCAAATTTGTCATTTGATGCAATAACAAAACTATGCAACCTAAAAGTCGTAAATGTGAATTACACATTTACATTTATAATTTGTTTTCCATTTCCGCCTATACTTACTATTAATAATTGATAGAATAGAGTATGTATATCTTGTTAAGAAACAGCACAGATTTAAAGTTCCGCTCTAACATCTACTATCCTACTCTACTCATTTCCATTTCTATCAAAACTGTGTGTATGAAATACTGCTTTTTGAAACGTAACTAATGCCAGTTTGTAAGTCATTGATAGTGTGATTGCAGTTATGAATGTATCTGTATGTAAAAAATGTTTTGTGTTTAATTGAATGAACTAGTTGGAGATAATATCCTCGTAATAATTCACAAACTTCTAGATCTATTGAACGTGAGTTTAATTTAATTTTTTTATACTTTGCTTCTATGTTGTTTACACTCCAATATGGTGCTTTGCATGGTCACCGTGTCAACGTGAAGTGACGGAACGGTGAGACTATGGAGCTACTATAAGAGAGACGCAAGAACTTTCCAGAGAAGCAACTCATTGAAAAGCTAATACATTTATTTAAATATTCGTATTTATTTCGTAACTACATATTTTTTTCTATTTATTTGTTAATTTATTACAAAAACAATGAATAACCAGTGTCTAAGAGTGATAATGCACCTGACTTGTTGCTTGCTGAGACATTAATATCGATATTTTTATGTTCCTGAACGTAAATAGTGTGTTCTTGTTTTCTAAATGTTTTTCGTTTTAACTTCTAAGTTTCGCGCGCGTTTACTGCCTTTTTGCATATAGGCTTCGAATAAGAATAGAATTTATAAGTGAATGAATTTTAAACGATGAACCAGCAGATCTTTTCTATGTTAAATAAAAATATTACCTAATCCAAAGATGTAACAGTTTAAAATAAAAGTTCAGCAAAGATTATGTGCATTATCGTGAACCGCCTAAGCATAGGATTTTAACGAATTTACTTAATAAGAATAACTTTGGTATTATCTAGCATTTATTTTATTATGAACATGAAGGTGGTAATAATTATATTTATTCTTAGTACAAACAATAATTGTTGGTTAATACTGTACAGTCTGAGGTCTCTGTAGGTCCCAAATGCTTGATATTGTCAGGGTTGGCTGTTATTTAGTTTTCTTCTAAAAAATTTAAAAACAGTATTATATCTATGTTTATAATTATGAATGAATAAATGGATTAATAACAACACGAAATATGGGTATTATATACCTCTTCTTCTTTTTGTGTGCCGTCAATGATTCTTGACCGCTGTCATCAGCGCTCTCATCTTCGGATTGACTACTACTGCTACTGCTCGAAGAACTACTTGATGAACCACTAGAAGAATCACTAGCAACACCTGTGTCTTCTTTCACGTCTATTGTTTCTGCTAGAGCTGCCAGTTCTGGTTCTTTATCCCTGAGTACTTTTAACCATTTACGTGACAATTTTGGTCTTCCTCGTACCTAAAATATAATTATAAACAATTAAAAACATTTTCTGATAAGCTTTAAAAATAATCAGTTATATTTTACGGACATATTTAAGATCCAAATATTTACCGTTTTATGCCATACCACTGGAAAATTGGTACGAGAACAAAAGTTTTGTGTAACCGCTATAGTTTCATCAAGATTTAAAACAACATGCCACCAACCACCAGGAACGAACACTGTTTCACCAGGATTTTGTAAAATCTCGATTGGCAAACAATCCTGTGGCCAGGTGGATAACTTTGTGCGAGGATAGATAATGGAAAACCACGTGATAGCTTCGTCCCTCTGTTTACCACCCTCGGGTGCAGATACCTTGAGAAGTTCTCTAGGAGTGTGAGTAGGAAAGAGGCACCACCGTTTATGTCCTGAAATTAGTGCATTCCATGCACTGGTCCCTAATGGATCTATATGAATACCTGTACCTGTGATTATGTTCATTAATTAATGTTATGCAACAATGAATTACAATTCTCTCAAACTGTTAAGTGTAATAATAATACCCACCAGACCTGGCTGGTCCCATAACAAACCAACGATATGGTGGCCTTCGATGTTCCCCAGCATATTGGAAAAGATCATCACGAAAGTATATAGGAATAACATAATCTTCTAACAATTTTTTTCGTCTAGGATGTTCACCAAAGGAACTATCAAAGATGTACAAAGGTGAATCATCTTCATTATTAAGCATATAACGTACATAGTACTTCATCTTCATCTTAACACTATATCCCTCATTGTCTTCTCCACATTTAAACTTTTGATTCCTGTACTTCTTTACTAATCTCTATAGTTCAATAGAAAATAATATTGTCAATAGATTTCTACAAAGCATCTTGTTTTTGAATAATATGAGTTGAGCATTACTACTTATGAACCTCTATAGTCCATTTGCATTGGGCTTTCCAGCCATTTTGAACACCTTGAATTATCACAGGCTTGTAGGGTTTCTCGTATTTCTCTATAAATTCTTCTGTAGATACTTTGGATTCATCAATGCGATCTACATTATCGTTAACATTCCAGAAGGACTCGAACTTTTTATTGTAGCCATGTTGAGTCCATGCTGCTTTATCTCCAAGTTCTATAAGAATGGATTTGTTTTGGAAGTAAGAAAAACAATGTTCCAATGCTTGGGTAGAGACACGTTAAGAACACAAATGTAAAAGCTCTATAAGCATATAACATTGAAAGTCTCATGAACATCCAAATTTGTTTACTTATTTACTGACATTACATGATAAAAAAATCGATTGATCGTTATACATAAGATTGAAACGATAAACTATTTACTTGTAAGCACGTCATGTTACAGTGTTACATATATGTTATCGTGATACTTTCAGTAAATTTGGAGTTACATCATCCAAGGTCGGCAAAGACAGTTTCGGTCTTGTGTCGCATTTTCCAAATTCAGTATATAACGACGAGCGTCACGAGAAGACAAACGGTGTCACAATTACTTCTAGTCATACTATCAATATAAAATAAATCGTGAAGAACAGTTGTTTGTTACAATTAATTCTACGCCCATTATCACGTCAACGTACAGGTTAGAAAGTTAGGTTATGACGTGTTTACCTGGCCTTGCCTTCCGTTTAACCTCTTTGATTCGTTTTTTTGCACGGTGGTCTAATTTCAGATCCTCGGCCATGGCTACACGTTCGTTATATTACCTAATTAACCTAGTTACAATATATTTACAATTTACAAACGAGAAATATGCGCAACACGTCATTCAACGGTAACTGTACTCTTTAGTTCATATAAATTCCGTGTGGTGTATCAAAACATTGGCCGATGATTTCATATATTTGAAGAACATTTAGCAGGCACCATTTTTCTGTTAATGGTCTGCAAATACACGAATTCTTTTATTTCGATCTCATATTTGAAACCTTCATCGATCGTGCATCCGGCGTTCCGTACACTTTTCCTCGTGATTACGGTGACACTACGGTCTCAATTGTGTAGTATTGAAAGTTCTGTGTGTCATCTACAGAGGCGCTGAGTCTTGTATACGATTGCTTGCGATTGCCTACGTGACAAATACCATGTCCTACCAATAGGTCATACTGAAAACGTAATTGCGCTTTGCGCTTCTAGAAATATCGATATCGATATATGTACTTATCAAGTATATTTATCGCACAGTGGGTAATACAGGTATCATCAAAATATCGATGAAATGAATTCAACGATATGATTAAATCTATATTTCTAAATTTAATAGAACTTCTAGTTGCGAATACATAGTAATAAAATTGTTTTTCTAATATAGTTCTTTACAAAAAAAAAGTTAAAAAAAATACAATAAAAAGGAGATTAATTTAAAGATTACATTCTTACGTAAAAGTAGATGAACTGCAATATATGTTACATAAAAAATGTAATGTTCTTAAAAGAGTTTTTGACTACATATAAATATACATATGGATATGTATAAATACATATGTAATTACGTGAATGCAAAAGTTACGTGAGATTGTTGATAGATGGTGCGGTCATTATTGTTTCATGACAACAATGAACAATCATGTTCAAGTGTTACATGTTCTTAGTAAAGTAGTAGATAATTTTACTTTAAATGAAAATTTCAGGTAAACATCATTAAGATACCACTTCGCGTGTGTTTAAAACAAATTGTTGTATGAATCCCAACGTTCCGAACATGATTTTTGACAACATTACGTACAAATATCCAAAAAATCTCGTGCCTTCATTTTTAGATAAAAAGATTGGGAACGAAGAATGAAACAACTGTCAGAATTATAAAATATAATAATTACAATTAATGGCAACTATGAAGTTAATCAAACAAATTATTTTTAGTAAAATACAATTATTTCTTTGCAGGATTCATTACTATAGGAGTCCGTCGAAATTGTTGCACTCGCTGAATGCATTATAAAATTGCATTAACGTAACAAGAAAGTTGTATCCGCGGTCGAAAGTTCAACGGTTCGGGCTGGCGCTTGCGCATTACTAGGGCTGGCGCCGAACACCCGGATGTGCTGCCGCACGAGCACGACACGGTAGAAGGAAGAGGCATGACGCCATGTTTTGATGTCGTCATCCCCCCCCAAACCGCTGTTTCTCGAGCTAGCACAATAGTCTGTCAGTGTTTTTCTGTTGTGTGCGCCTCGTGTTCCGTGTTCCTGGTGGCCGTTTTCGGCGTGGCCCGTAGCTCAGTTCGATCGTCTCGACGTGGTTTGATGGTTGGTTTCGCGGCCGCGACGCTCTTATCCTCGTGGGTCGACGGTCGCTGAAGGTGGCCCCCTTCGTCTCGTTTACATGTCTGGGGAAGTGACCGCGGAGCGGGGGGGTCCTCCGCGAGCGTCGTCTACGTGGTGGTAGTGTCCTAGTGCGGGGAGGACGAGCGACAAAGATCCTCCGTTGCGAACGGTACTCGTTCCAAGTGGTTACGTCACGCGACCCTGAGAGCTGGGCTTACGGAGGAAACGGTTTGCCAGAGAAGTGGACGGCGACGACGACGGGGACGAGGACGACGGCCCTGCTAAAATGGAGCTGCGCCTGCACTCGCCAGCCGGAGCAGAACCGATCGTCTATCAATGGCCCCTCACTTCCGGATCTGGATCCGTGAGTGCAATTATTTAATTCTAGTTTTCTTTCTCTTTTTCTTTCTCTTCGAATCGAACCGATGCCTACACGTTAATATGCCGCCACGAACGCCTACCGCCTATGACCCTGCCATTTATCCCCCATTCTCACACAGCTGATCGTACTGTTCATCGTGCGACGCGAATTCTGCGGTTATAAACCAAAACGACATGTCACATGTTTTTATTTCGACGATGTCGCCGTTAAGCCATTTACGGTCTCTTCTCGGGAACTAGAAATGTTTGAATATATATTGCGAAGGTATCGTAAAATGACCCTACGTTGCAGTACAAAAAAAAAACGTTTACTTCTAAAAACTTAAATAAATGTACCCATGTTTTCTTTATTATTAGATTCTGTCAAGAAAACAGCGGAGTAACTTTGCAGTGGTCCATTTAAATTGAATAATGTTTATGTTGTTGATTTTAAAGGGGAACATGCATGATTATGTATTTAATTATATTAGCATTCGTATCTAAACTAAGTGCAACTGCGAAGCATTAATTCTTTACAACCCAACTTTATTTTCATATGTAGATAATATTGTGTGAAATTAATTTTACATATGGAAATTCATAAAACAATTTTTGTCTGTAATTAAACAGAGATGAACATCATAAAGCAAAACAGTGCAGTTACGCTGTCATGTTTACTATAATTAAAGATGCTCATATATATTTTTCTTTCTATCTTATACTCATAAATAAATTAAAAATAACTGTATATGTGTATCTTATATACCTGTCTGTATGTGAATGAGAGAGAGAGAGTGAGAGAGGAATATTTTAGGAG